ACGTGTTTTTGGTGTACATGAGTAAGCAATAATACTACCTGACTAAAATACCCCCCCCCCCCCTCTTTTCAACTCCCCCGCCCCCGCCGCCGCCCCCTGCTCAATGAGTTATTTTACTTTTATTCTGCCATCTAAATAACTCTATACCCATGACTGGTGTACCAAGTTAAATCCACATCAAAACCCCATTTGTCGATAAGTGTATTTATAATAATCACTTGAACATCCTTGGAGAATTATATCTATTTAGTGAATATTAATACCAAAGAAAGAAAACAACTCTAAATTCTGAATATAAAGTCATCAAATTCTCTTACAGATCTTATTGTGGAAACCCAAAAGTTATATGTCACCATTGCCTTTTTAATCACATTTTTGTTTTTAATGTCAAATACCAAACCATCTCTAAAATTGTTTCATTATATAGAATGCAGTGTAATCCTAAACACTAAAGATTTGGCCTGAAAACTTGAAATAATATAGAGGGATCATCAATAACTAATAGTTACATTCGATAATTATAAAAATGTATTATTGTAGGATGAAATCAACCTTTATTTTTAAACATTTAGTGAACATTTCGAATGTTAATGCCTCTTTTTTAATTTTCTCCATTTTGTTTGATTTTTATGCTATATTTATTTTATCTATCTATAATTATTTGCCTGTGCTTTATCTATTAGTTCCCATTCATATACTGTAGAAAATTTTGAATTCCTAATCTGTTAAGGGGACTATTTTTTTTTTTAAAGTATTTCAATTTAGTGCATTATTAATGTCTTTAGTGCTTGGTTTGGTTGATATTAAATTTAGATATATTTAAAATGTATGTTTTGGGACCATGGGGTAGGGATATTGTGAACATATATACTATTCAAAAAAAGTAGGGGATATTTGATTTTTAAGTGTTATTAAAGTCACCTAATGAAACTGACGAAGAAACAAATGACAAAATGAAATGAAGTTCACATTCATCGATTTATTCCAAATGATCGTTAGACTAAGTAAGGCACAGACTGACCATTATAAGGGTAAAATGATACCCGGGGTCAAACAGCAAAGTTACCACAGCATCACAACCAAGTCAGTAACGGGTAAATCCTCCTCTGTTTGCCAAACAATCATTGATCCGACGTGGCATACTCCTAATGAGATGTCTAAGGTCATTTTGGTCCAGATTGTCCCATTCCTGTTGCAACGCAGCAGCAAGTTCTTGGACATTGACAGGACGTTGTTGACGTTGACGTAACCTCTGTCCAAGCATGTCCCAGACATGCTCGATGGGGGAGAGGTCGGGACTCAGTGCTGGCCAAGGTAATGTGGTGATGTTCTGTTGTTGGAGGTAACCTGTAACGATCCTGGCCCTGTGACATCTTGCGTTGTCATCCTGGAAGATGAAACGGCGGCCATGACGTCGTGCGAACGGCACAACATGGACTGCCAAGATGTTGTCCCGGTAGTACTGGCCTGTAACACGCCCTGCAACAACATGTAAAGCCGTTCTTCCAGCAACAGTGATGCCTCCCCACACCATAACACAACCACCCCCAAATCGATCATGTCTGATGACGTTAACGTCTTGGAAGCGCTCGTTTCGACGACGCCACACCCTCCTACGTCTGTCCAAAAAATCAACAGTGAACCTTGACTCATCTGAAAACATCACATTGCTCCAGCGTCGATTATCCCAGTGTTGACGATCCCTACACCAACGACGTCTTGCCTGAATGTGATGATCTCTCAAACAAGGGATCACGCGAGGACGTCGGGCGCGAAGGTGACCCCTATGCAATCGATTCCGAATCGTCTGGCCACTCACTCTCACACCAGTGTCTGTTTGAAGACGAGCGCTGATCTGATTTGCTGTGATGACACGATTTCTCAAGGCCAAGGTACGGATAAATCGATCCTGGGCTTGAGTTGTCGCCCTTGGTCGACCTGAGCGTGGTCTGTCCTGTACAGATTGTGTATCACGGTATCTGAACCATAGCCTGCTTATGACAGACTGAGAAACATTCATCGTCCGCGCCACAACCGCCTGTGTTGTGCCGATCTGTAGCATGCCAAGGGCACGTAACCTTTCATTTTGGGTAAGCCGACGCATATCAAAATTTGTTTTTTGGTCACTAAAACAATTAAACTGATGTTTCCACCCTGGAATTCAATGCCACAATGACTGTAACATTCAAAGTCAGAGTCGTGCAAATCTTGGGTTGGACCCCCATGATGATCCCAAGCATCACCTGCATTCCATGCGGTAGCTATTGGTGCGTTTGGGCGTCACATGTAACTGGAAATGTTTCTTCTGTTAGGTTCTATAGTGACTTTTTTCGTAGTCATTTGCATATTTTAGTATTATGCCCCCAAAATCAAATATCCCCTACTTTTTTTGAATAGTATATATTATATTCTCAGTTCTTTTTAATGTTAATTGTAAAAAAAAATTAAATAGCTTTTTTTGAGGGGTGGGGGGATATTGTTATTATTGAACACAATTTTATTAGTATTGAAATTAACTTTGTTGATTAATATTCCAAATGTCTCGGTGCTTTATTTTTTCAATTTAAATAGCTACTTTTTATTTAATAATTGGGAATGGGGGGGTGGGGGTATTTTTTCATTGTATAACACAATTTTATTAGTATTGGAATTAACTTTGTTTATTAACCTTCGAGATGTCTGTATTGGTATAAATTAGGCATTAATTTTTTTTTTCATATCATTTTTTGAATAAATAATAATTTAACAAACAAAATTATTATGTCATTTATCAATAATTACAGTTTAAACAGAACGAATGGAAGGGGTTGCATTCGAAAGGTTGCTATACTGGATATAAATTGGTAAAATACAACACAAGTTTTTGTTATACACAAGTTTGTACGAAACAACACGAGTTTCAGAAATTTCAACACAAACAAGTTTCAGAAATTTCAACACAAACAAGTTTCAGAAATTTCAACACAAATAATGTGTAGATTTTCACACAAGTTTTGTGTTGTTTCAACATTTAACACAAGTTTTGTGTTGTTTCAACATTTAACACAAGTTTTGTGTTGTTTCAACATTTAACACAAGATTGTGTTGTTAAATAGAGACACCTAACTTGTGTTGAAAATAACACAAGTTTGTGTTGTTTCAACACAAGTTTTTTTTCAGTGAGTAATTCAGCTGGAACTGCCATTTTATTTAATACATCGAGTAATCTAGATATTAAGTCATATACAGCTGATGAAAATGGATACTTTATTATTTTGATTTTAAACTGCTTACAGACTAATTTTTTATTCGTTAATACGTACAGCCCCACGATAGATATTCAGCAAAAGGCCCATTTTCTTAAACTGCAAGATCAGATGCTCAAATCTTTTGAAGTTTACGACGACTTGTCAGTTATCATAGGCGGGGATTTTAACAATGTGATGAACAAAGACTTGGACAGAACGGGTGGAAATTATAAAATAAAAAAACAACAGCAAGGTAGCTATTATAAAAATAATAAAATATTTTAATCTTATCGACATATTTAGAGTTAGAAATCCAGAGTTACGTAGATATACGTGGAAACAGCTTAAGCCTTTAATACAAAGCAGGATAGATTTTTGGTTCATCTCGGCCACTACCCAAGATTTTGTAAAAGAGTGCACCATTATACCAAAAACATTCAGTGATCATCAAGCAATTGCTATTAAAGAGGGCAATAACAATCTGATATTAGATAAAAATTATTACAAATTATTAAAGAACGCCATCAAATTTATGATATAGAAATCCGTGGGGCTATCTTAAGATCTAAAGTGGAGTGGCACGAAAAGGGGGAAAAGAATACAAAATTATTGCTTAGTTTAGAGAAACAAAATAAAATATCAACATCATTAAACAGAATTGAAAGAGATAATAGTGAAATTACTTGCCCAAAGGAAATATCAAGGGAAATTTATAACTATCACTCGAATCTTTATTCAGAGACTACCCATAACAAATCAGGTCTCGAGGATACAATATTCCTCAGGAAACAGTACTTCCAAAAATTAAATGAAAATCAAAGTCAGATGCTGGAACATAAAATTGACAACCGTGAATGTTTGGAAGCATTAAAACTATTTAAAAATAATAAAACCCCAGGCAATGATGGACTGAATATATAATTTTACCGTGAATACTGGCCTCTTATTAATACATTAGTACTAAACTCATTTAACTATAGTTTTGAACACAGGCAATTATCAGAGTCACAAAGACAATCGATTATTAAACTAATACCAAAACCTGGCAAAGATAAATCACTTCTATCTAACTGGCGGCCCATCACACTTATAAATGTAGACGTAAAATTAGCAAGTAAGATTTTATCATTAAGATTAAAATCCTTTCTTCAATATTTAATACATCCAAAACAAACGGCTTATATTTCTGGACGGCATATACAGGAAAATACTCGTATCATTGATGATTGTTTTTACCTCGCAAAAATTAAGAAAATAACTGGTTTTCTTTTAGCCATTGATTTTAAAAAAGCTTTTGATAGCATTATCCATAAATATCTGTTTTCTGTTTTGGACGCTTATATATTAAACGAGTATGACGGACAAATATTACCGGCATGTAATTATAAACATCTTTTTTAAAATTATCACCCTTCTATCAAGAACTTTTCAATAATTGGTTCCATATCTATACCTCAAAAATCGATATGTTAATAAGCCCTCAAAATCAAATCATCTGGAACAATAAGCATATAAAGATTAACAAAAAACCTTTAATAGATAAAGAATTGATGAATGATAATATTTTATATTTGATTGATTGTAGAGAAGACTGTTAATCAATAGGATAATGAATAGTAATAAAATATTAAGAATGAAAAGCGTTTGCTTAGCAGTTAAAGAGTTTTTGGATATAATCGACTACGAACCTACGCCTATAGTAAGAAAACAAAGCGTGTTTGACATTATTAATAACAACTGTATAAATATATATAAAAAAATCACTAGATAAGATTAAAGCAAAAGACATTTATTCAATACGAGTAGATTCTAAATACAGTAAACCATTAGCAATAAGTAAATGGGAAGAAGAGAATAGTTTTATATTTGAAGAACGTGAAACCTCATGTATATTCAATTTGGTCTATAAAACGAGCACTGATACTAGATTACAAAATTTTTAATTTAAATACCTCCATAAAATTATATATACAAACGACCGTTTATTTAAAATCCAATTAAAGGAGTCTTCATTGTGCGATTTTTGTTATTCAAATATAGAAACCCCGGAACACCTTTTTATATACTGCAATTACGCCCAGGTAATATGGAATGATTTACATGAAATCTTCTCAACTAATGACATTTCATTACAATTACAACTTACGAACATTCATTTCGGTTTTCTGAAAGAAACAGTTTTTAAATCATATCTTGAATTCTTATTTGTAAATCATTTAATATTTTTAACAAAATACTACCTCTACAAAGCGAAAATAGAAAATATTAGACCGACAATTATTAATTATCGTAACTACCTAAAAGGTAAACAACAGATAGAAAATGAATTAAACGAAACCTTAGTAAATAAATGGGATTATACCATATGAATATTATGCATACCTCTAGTATTCCATTTCTAGTATTCCAACTCCTTAATACCTGTAGCTATTTTTGTATTTTTTTTTGTTTAGTTTTTTATTAGCTTTTATTTTCTTTGTGAATATATTTGTTCTACTCAATGTAATATAGTATAGCCTTCAACATTAAACCGACGCTATCTGTATGATGCTACACACTGTGATTGTAATATGTGAACTATGTACTATGCTGTTATTGCTTATTAAAAAAAAAAAAAAAGTATCAACTAAATTTCATTTGGAGTATCTCCCAGTTCACTGCAGTAGCGGCATAGGTCGACTGGGGTCACTCTCAGGTCACTGCGGAAGCTGGTCGTGCCTTTTGAAGCACGTGGCACAAAATGATTCAGATGTTGAGACATGCTTGGTTTTTTTTTACTCACAGGTCGTTTAGTTCTTGACTGCAGCTAACTATGTTCATGTTCGGATCTTTGTGACGTAATCATAATCCCTCAACCAAGTGTCAATGTGTGGTATGTCATGGCATATACGTCAAATCGCTTCTACCATGTGCCACAAAACTCAAATTTTCTCCGATCCTACCCTCCCCTCCTAAGTGCCCTAACTTTGGTCTGCCTACCCTCGGAGGCCCTAGCACGCCCTTGGCTTATTGTTGAACTTAGTCATGACTTTACACCAAGTTTTATTCTGTCCTAAATTCTCTGCCATTGAAATTGGTATCTCCGCTCATTATTGAACTTAGGTCAGGGATCTTAATCGGCTGATTATTGTCGGCCTCCAATACCCGTTATCTTTCCGTCATTTTCGGAATGGTTCACTGCATATCTGACAAACAGGCGATATCGTATACATCTGTGTCTCAATATTTCAATCATTTTCTGAAATAAATTCACGACGTGCTTCAATAGGTTTGGCCATCTTGGCTCAATTTTCGTGGTTGGTGATCGAAATCGGACACACCCACGACACTGGCGTCCACAGTGGGCTGCGAGTGACCCCTTTCGTCATGCCTGCTACGCTTCTTCTGTAGTGAACAGTGGTCAACCAGAGCGTCTAAATGAAATTTAGTTGATGCTTGATGAATGACATCGTATTAGATCTGAGGCGGACTCGACCACTCGTAATCCCCAAATCTCCAATGGGATTTCCCATTATTTTGACCCAGGGGAACCAGTTAATTACCAAGATGAAAAAAATGTGTCGAAAATGAGATCAGCTGCCTTCAAAACATACATTTTGACACCAAATGAGGTAATTTTGTAAAATTCGAATTTCCCCGCCAAAACTGGCCGCCATCTGGAATTATTTCCCAATATTGACTCCGCGGTATAACTAATCACCAAAATGTGTATGGGAATGGATCCAGCTACCTCGTTAGGATATATTTTGATACCAAACTCAATCATATTATGGTAAGTGGATAAAAACTGGCATTTTCCAGTCAAAACCGGTGGCCATTTTGGATTTTTGCCAATTTGACCCATTTGGGAATGGATTTAGGATTGGGACTTTTTTTGGGTGATAATATACGTCTAGACCGACCATAAAACGTGGTCGGCATTTCTATTGCAGCAACTGCCCGAAATGGCTTTTCGTGCCATCCGAAGGACTATACGTTGTCCCTTGCCTGGTCTTCTGTCCTGCACCACTGACAAGGGGTACCACGCCGTAAAATCCCAATGAACTTTCTCGGCCAACGCAGGAATCAAACACTGAACCTCCAGGTAAGCAAGCCACCGTGTAGAGTTTCAGTTTGATGAGTTGTACAGCGGTTCCACACTGATCAGCAGTGAATAAGGATGACATCGATGCGACTTAATGAGCCCCAAATATTTAATTTTTTACTCCGACAAATTAAATTCTTAAACATTTTTTTTAAGTATTAGAAAAATAAATAACGACGTTTGAAGTATTTGTAGGTAAATATTATTTCCTATTTAGTGTAAATGGGTATAAAACTGAGTAAAAGGCAGCATTCTTTCCGAAGCAGTAACGTCTTATGTAAACATTGCACGCCCCATTGAGCCAATGATTGACGTCGCGTGACGTCATGTGTTGAAGGCAGTCATCTTGATTCTTTTACAGAGATATAAGAAGACTTTCGTAATCCTCTGTGAAACAGATTGCAGCGGTTCATGGTTCCCAACAGTTTTCCGAGCGTAGTTACAATACAATTGATAATGACGTCACAATGAGAACGACGTAATGCCATCAAAATGACGTTACGACGTCATAATAAGATCGTAGGTTATGTCGGCATTTTTGAACTCGCGAGTATCGATATCCTATAGGCCGTTAATACATTTATTTGCACTAAAGTCAACCGATTCGGAGATTTTCTGGTCCACTGGCGGCCATCTTGGATTTATGTTACTTATGCAAATTTCCCCAAGACCGATAATGGCCGCTTTTGTTATGGAAGTACTAGAGACCATACCTGAACGGTTCCCAAAGAAATGATTTCTGTTGCAGTTTGTTCTAGGTGTATTGTTATCTATACCCACCTATAGTACAAATCTCTTGTCATGGTATTGGAAAATGTGTGCTTCGTGTACATTTAAAATTTACACAATTTATAAATGGTTAATTAAAAATTACTGACATAGAGATTTAACTAGTTTGAGAAATGTTTTAGATAATATTATTAGTTTAAGCTACATCATGAATTAAAAGATATACTATAATAAATAGCAATCATTATATAGCTAGAGATCATGTCAATAAACAATAAACAAAATAGTAGACTATAAAGGAACCGTCGAAAAATGTCAACACTTTAGTCTTAACGAATAACACGCGGATTGATCTCAACCTGCCCATTTGTACCAACAGAGTAAACAATGTGGCCATATTAAATAACTGACATTTAATTTATCATTTAATATTCACGGTCTCGCTCAACCCACCAAAAATGTTCCGCAGGTTATTCGTTTAGGAGCAAGTGTTATTTTACAGAACGTTACTCAGTAATTAAGCTCGAAACGCGGTGAAACAAATAACACACACTTTACAGAATTTAATTTGACACCACAAAGACTATAAACTGCAAGTGTCGTAAGAGTTTATTAAAGGATTAATTTATTATTCACTTAGATCTATCCAATCTAAACCCACAAACACCAAGAAATTTAAAAGGGAAAACGATTTTCCGACCCACAGACCCTATTTTTTGTTACCAAATAACAGTAAACACGGTTATGTTAGTATTTGGCCTAATGTCCAGGTTTGCCGCCGGACTTTGGTTGAATTATTCCCTTTGAAATCTTCTTAAAGTAATTCATTGTATCCCCTCGCTTAGCTGCATATAAATTATTAGGAATAATATGTGATTCGTTTAGAGCCATCATAGAAATAGCAATGCCCAGAACTGACTGATCAAAGCGATGGCAATTATGATATTTGTGATTACATGCGTCTTGACTCTTGGATCCTTTGGGCTCTACACAGTATTTCTGAAGACAACAGGTTAACCATGACCTCATTACAGCGTAGGAATACAAGTTATTTTTCACAACAAGATTAAATCCTCCTCCAGTCTCAAAAAGACCATGAAGTAAACACGGTTCCACATTGAAATATTCAAAAGTTTCGGCATATGTGTTAGTTGTAATGCGATGAGTGCGAGCGCAACGGTGAATGATGCCTAATTCTTTGACTTTGTTGAAAATACTCGTCAGACTTCCATTGTATAATCGTATTGAAGCATCCATATACATTGTAAAGTTGTACTCATTTAATACTTCCTGTATATTAAAATAAAACAAAATATATATAATTATTGTTGTAGAACATTGCATAACTAATCGGGGAGCCGCGGTGTGACCCTGGGCTCGTTACAGGCGTTGACCGTGAGAGTTCCTTAGGCGTTACCGGCGTGGTTCCCCCTTGTCCGTGGTACAGGGCGGAGGACCTGGCATTGTCAGTGTATAGTTGTTCAGGTCCCGTGTGTAGTTCGAATTCAAAATAGGAGTAAGATACAACGCCAAAGTCTGGGCAAAATTTCCCCCGTAACAAACTGTATGGCGTATCATCGTCTTCATTTCCTAATCGGTTGCAGACAAAATTTGGACGTTAAACTCCATTTTATTTCATTTCGCATAACTAATCAAGAATTTATATGGATATTCTAACTCTGCCGTTTTCAACAAAACTGATTAACAATTGTTAATACTACACTTTTCTATCATAATATATACATGTAGTCTAATGAGATACTTCAGACATGATGGACAATAGAGGTATGTTTATATACGTTACCTGTACAGGTGACACGAGTTTAATTATAAAATATATAATACTATCAATGATATTAAATGGGATGGTGTAAGAGCTAAATCTGCCTATAACATGTATTTCTGTTGCATTCAAACGATTTATACATTACTCATTTATTCACATGACAAGAATATAATCAACTTTCTAGATCATTGGACGGCCGTGGTTTTGAATGTATTAAAACACAATCGTGATTTATTAATTGGATGTAAAAATGTATAATCGAGACTTGCTTATTATCGTAGCAATGGTACTTGACAATGGAGACTATTTGTTAAAATCTTAAACACTCATTATTGTCAGGTCAAAATACAGTTTAACCCCCCCTCAAAAATTGCTACAAAGGGTTTCTCAACTGATTATGGCAGGGTTTAGTGTACTGTAATAACATACTAAAGGTTTACCAAAGTAGGACCCCCGGAAAAGGTTGGGGTTTTTTCACATTAGTTTGTATATAGGCCTATTTATCAAAATGCGTACCTTGCAGGTAGTATATTATATTGTATTTATCAAAATGCGTATCTTACAGGTAGTATATATTGTATTTGTTAGATGTGTATGTGTATCTTACAGGTAGTATATATATATTGATTTTTTTTTTACTTTTTAAATAATTTAAAAAAAAAAAGTTTTCTCGGCGCTTCCCAGACCTTGACAATTAGCTGACTATTTGTAATTTATCATCCATTATCAAATAATGTTTTAGATATTTTGTGATATTTATTTAGTATATTATTATACAGTCGTGTGATTTTTTCTCCACGGGGATGTGTAGGTGTAGTTAGTAAATAAAATCTTAATTATTATTATATTGAAAGTAAACAAAAACTTAATTATTTCTATATTCGAGGTCAATAAATAATTATTATTATATTGAAAGTAAATACAGTCTTATTTAGTTTTATATTGGGGTTAAATAAATATTATTACATTGGACGTAAATGAAATCTTTTTTATTATATTGGAAGTAAATAAATAATTATTATTATATTGCAAGTAAAAAAATAATATTATACTGGACAAAAATAAAAATTATTATTATCTTGAAATTATATAGTTAATTAATGTCATATTGGAAGTAAATTATTATTATGTTGTTTATATGTTGTTTATACACTTGATATATATATAAAGGCAAAAGCGACCAACAATTAAACCTTCGAATAGATTTACATAGGTCCCAGATACTCCACCCAGAAAACAGAACAATTCCACTAAGTAGCCATCTAGACATATGTGGTAACGGAAAGTTTAAAGTTGCGCCAATATATAGGTTAAATTTCATAAATGAACAAATATTACAAGCCAAAGAGAACAGACTGATAAGAGTTATTTTCTCCTAAACTGAACCGGCGATTGAAATGAACATTATTTGGATTATAAAATTACCCTTTGATTAGGGCATATTGGAGCTATGTCCCCTTAATGACGTCGCGCTTTTATGTAACTAAGCGACGTTATTGTCTTTTGTACATAGCCCTGAAGATCCTGGCAAATATGTAAATGTAATTAAAATATAGATTTTTCCATCCAAATCTTAGTATTTTTGGTATATAAGCCTGAGAGTTGAATTTAGAAACTTATCAAATTCGATTTTCAATAATGTCCGTGAATACCGTAAAGCAGAAATACAAATTTGCTGAAAGACGCCTGTCACAACGCCTATCATATACTTGGGTTAGTTCATCAATTCGGACTATAGAACATCAACGCGGGAATCATGAACATGTAAGGATGCTGATATCAGCCGTTCTAATAAATCTAATAAAGTGACAATGTTACGGGTAAAGGTCAAATGAACTGACCCTGTTACGTGTAAAGGTCAAATGAACTGACCCTGTTACGTGTAAAGGTCAAATGAACTGACCCTGTTACGGGTAAAGGTCAAATGAACTGACACTGTTACGGGTAAAGGTCAAACAAAGTGAAACGGAATGTATTACCTGTATGATGATGGGTTTCCAGGCACAAGAATGAAGGTATTTTATGTGATCGGGATATTTCGTAATGTCAAACTTTCTCAACTTACATCTTCCATATTTTATTATCTGTAAATATATATATTAATTACATGAAAATAAATAACATTTCAACAAAACATAAGAATAATCCCACGCACTGCCAAGGTGAATCATGTGAACGTGGTTATTTAATGATCTGGTTAGATTATCAAACAGTTGCAATTTCTCGCATGGGTAGTTCAGATTGTTCCATTAAATCTGTATACGCTTTGTTAACTTACTGCTTGTCTTTGTGATTCTGTAAATCCGATATCATATAAAATAACTTTAATATCCGGATAAACTGGTCTTAGAACTGTATCAATATTATGCATCAAGGCTTGCATCTCTGTAAAATGATTACTAGAGGCACCAGCCACAATTACAGGAATCCGTGGAATAGGGATCTTGGGGTCTGGTAAATCCGGTATGTAGACGTCACCGGATGTTGCAAACCTATTTGGATAACCAAGTCTGTGTAGGTGGTATTCAACTTCCGGTGTAGTCTTCATGTTCAATAGACGCTTGATGTTGCTGATTCTGTTAGTGCTAATATACGCCTTGCAATTTTGGTCTTGCCCATAAATTCGACCTAAAAATATACAGCATCGATGCAAAATGAAATGGGGTTTAACGTTCTACTGCTCTGCGCCGTCAGAGCTAATGAAAACGGGCATACGCCATACAGTTTGCTATGAGGCAATATGTGTGCTGCCAAGAGTTCATTACAATCACCCTGTATGTTCAGGAACCGTCCTGTAATAATTTTTTATATACTCTTCAAAAAAGTAGGGGATATTGAAATGATATGATAAATAGTCATGGACACTTGACATGCTTTTAGAGTATGTTCACAGATGAAGACCTTATCGCCCCAACAGAACCACTGAGCTGCATGTGCGACACGCAATAGCGCCATGCACGTGGGAGGATGGGTTCATTGTCAAATTTGACACTTCAAGGAAGGGTTGATGAAAACTGTCGCTTGCTGGTTTATCCTATCAATGTTTGAATTCCTATCGGTCTTGCATAAGATTTACTGTTTAGCGTACCTTTGTTTTAGTGTATTACGTTTAATTTGATCCGGAGACCTGTTCGTCGACGTCAACGTCAACCGACCACACTGCAAGAATTGGCCGTGACGCTGCAAGAGGAGTAGGTCAGATTGCCACAAATCCTGATTGGACGGTTGATTAGGGGCATGCCACGACAAACTGCTGAATGTCTGAGGATTTGTGGAGCAATTACTCATTATTAAGACAAAAATCAAAAACGTTCATTTTCACTTTTGACAATAGAGACTTTTGGCAATCGGAATTTTTCCCATCCGTATCGTTACGTCAATGTAGTTTTAGAGTTTTGGCAGATTTTCGCGTTGCGTAAGTATGCATAGCTGAGCTGATCTTAGTTCTATTACAGCATGGTGGCAGATATCTACCAAGATCACCATCAGTACTAGTCAAGTAAGTTACTCGACAGTCGCTGAGCTATTCAAAAAAAATTAATGTTGAATCTTATTAAAAAATCTTCGACTCGACAGCAATTTTTGGTTTCACTAATGCATCATTTCAGAAAGTTTATACCCCTTTACCATAGAATTAAGTCATTTGCAAAGTTCCACCTCCCTGAATTTAGCATGTAGATAAACCAGCATGCAGACAGACAGACAGGAGAAGTATGAAAATTCCGAGAAAAACCATCAAAAATAATGTTCGTTTACGTTTTCGTTTTCGTATCCTCTAACACTCGGTTTCGCAATCCGACCTACGATAATAACTAGATGGCGTTAATTTCCACTCCATGAACTTCTCGGTCAAGGCAAAGTTTTCAATCAATTTTTGGCAGATGTAAAACAGATCAAGCAGAATATTCCTTGTGAGCACATTCTACGAACGCTACACAATCAACAATATACACAAAGGCTCGAAAAATGGTGAAAAATTCAATATATGAGACAAGAAACATATTCGTTTGCATACCTACGTAAATCCAGCTCCATACGCGTAACGTTTTTCACTGGCCGAACACTCAATACGGATTGACGTCACACACGAATCGATGACGTTTTCGTTTTCGTATTCGTTTTCGTACCGGTGCGAAAGGTCCCTATTGTTAAAATCCCATCAAACATACACCTTCGTGTTCTATGATACACATAGATTCATAAAAACGCTACAACGATACAATTCAGCGTCTACAAGTAGCACAAAAGACGGTAAAAAGGCGAAGATGTTATACGGACCTTTTCCGTATAAAAGCTGTTTGATACGTGCTGCCGTATCACGTATGAGAAATACACACACATTGATGACGTCACACACAAAATCCATACGGATACGCGATACGGACCAGGAATTTACGCTTGCCAAAAGTCTCTAATGTATCTCTTTGCGAGTGAAATGGGGCCGTCAGATAAGCCGCCCATATGAACTGTTTATGTTCATGAGTAGACAATTGGCCTGTTATTAACATACACTAGTTACTTCTAATAAAAACAGCAGTGCATTTCCGCAGTTTTGTATTGTTTCTGAATATCCCCTACTTTTTTTGAAGAGTATAATAATAATTTATTTATAATGCGCCTATTACCAATATGAAATATTGATCAATGGTGCAGTTAACATTTTGTTGACATCACACATAGAAAAATAAAATAAATTAAATTAAATGGATGATCAAAAAAATTAAAATGGCATACGATAGCAATCAAAGTTTATAAAGATTATAATATGACATGTAACAAACAAATTTAAATAGCTAAAAGTAATAAAGAATAAAAAAGAACAGTGCCTAAAACAGAATAAAATGAACTTGGATACCTGCATTAAAAGCCTAGAAGTCAACAAAAAGGTGTGTTTTTAAATTACGTTTAAAACTTTCAATGCTATCAGATAGTTTAATATTGAGAGGTATTCAACAGAGGGTATTCAACAGAAAAGGAGAAGCGTGGGGAAAAAGCGCGTTTACCATAAGATGTGGAAGGATAAAAAGGTGTAAGCAGGTTGCTATTTTGAGATCGGAGTGTACGGGATGGAGTATATAGGGAGATAAGAGATTTAAGGTAATCTGGCGAATTATCTGAATGTAATGTAGAGTAAGTAAGTGTAAGTTTTTTTGAAAGTGATACGGTGTGATATAGGAAGCCAGTGTAGATCATGTAAAACAGGGCTAATGTGATCAGTAGGTTTAGTTCTGGTAATGATTCGTGCTGCTTTATTTGCAGGAAGATTACATAGCAGGGAATTACAGTAGTTCAAAACGAGATGTAACAAGAGTATTCACAAGCATTTTACAAGTTTCATTATCAATGAAGTTTCTTATCCGGCCAATTTTATAGAGTTGAAAATTTGTTGATTTACAGATAGACGATATATGGTTACCCATGTTAAATTTACTGTCAAAATAAACTCCTAAATTTCTAACATTCTTAGCAGGAGACACTTCACAACTACCAACTTGAATTTTATCGATGGACAATTTTTCTAGTTTTTGATTTGATCCAATAATAAGCACTTCAGTTTTATCGTCATTTAGTTTCAGAAAATTGTTTGTCATCCATTCTTTTATTGATAAGATGCAGTTTTCAAGGTTGGAAATATTACCTGATTGAGAGTCTGTGTTGATAGCTAAATATAGTTGTGTATCGTCGGCATAACAGTGATAGTCAAGGTTATCGTTTCTAATAATATTACCTAGAGGTGTAGTGTAGGCTGTAAACAGAAGTGGGCCTAATACCGATCCTTGTGGCACCCCAAACTGTAGATTAACTGGATTTGATTTAGCTTGGTTAATAACAACTTGTTCTAGTATGTAGGTATGACGCGAACCAACGTCACTCGGCCATATAAGACAAAATGAAATTTAAATAAACAGGTAAAACAGAATTGAAATGTTTGAAAAAAATCGATTGTGTTTGGGCTAGGCAAAGCAATAAATGACAGTTTTGCAAAGATTCCAATGTTTCCCCGCCTGCTTACCAAAATTTCGTTTCGCCAGATATGGCCGAGGTACGTAAATTTTTGCGTTACCCTATATTTAGATTTCAATGGCTTTTGCCAAGCTGTTTACAGAAGGGGACGTATTTTCAATGGCATGTTGTGTCCCACAACATTGTACAGGCGTTCACAGGGACTGACGCGCGGCCGTTTAGCAGTGAAAAGTTGCCCAGTAAAATTGACTGGGAAGCGAAAGTTTTTCGACTATGATTCAATATGACGGTTCCTGAACGTACAGGGCAAGTGTAATGAGACCTACGTTCAGAGCTGAACTACCATGACAGCGGCGCTACGGCTACTCTTATATCGAATTCCAACTTCCAAGGGATCTTTTACTTGTACTCAAATGTGTACACGGGACCTTGGTTGTTCGTCCGTCCGAATGACTAGACAACTATCCTTGTCAGACCCTCCGCCCTGCACCACTAACAAGGGGAAACCACACCGAAAACCCGATGGACTTTCTCGGCCAACACCGAAAGAGAAGCCGCGACCTCCAGGTTAGCGACGAGCCAGCGTCTCCCTCACTTGGCCACTGTGCCCCCCCCCCCCCCAATAACTATGCAAAGTAGGTTATGTATATGATTTTATGTTTATTTCATTTTCTGTTTTTCCGGGTTATGTGAAATTTGTTTTGAATAAAATTTTGGAACTAAAAACGTTTGAACAGCACGACCAATAAATTTGTCTTTTTCCCGTAGAGATAAAAAGGACACATTTCCAAAAGAAGAGAAGATCAAATTAGTGTAGCCTTGCGTCTAAACATTTTATTCAAATGGACTTTCTTCGTTATTTGTTTAAAATTTAGATTTTGTTCCATTTTCACAAATTCATGGATTATGTTTACTTACCTTCTTGCAAATATTGTCGGATTGGATTCTGAAAAAAAAAAGATATACCGATTTCAACGAATCAATTTGTGTGACATTTTGCTTGTATGTCATCAACAATGAAATTCAGCCATTTACTTAATGAAACACACAACTGAAACACACACACACACACATACATGTATATGGTGTAAATCGAAGACTTTGATTGGATCCTCCTAATCGAGCCTAGCATGTAGATGAAAAGCACCGTTAGTTATTTCTGAACTCTATTACATCAAACGATTATGAAAAGATATAAATAATACCCCAATTTATTTATTTTATGCATTTGACTTTTTACGGAAGAAATGCGGACACACTGGAGTTTGCAAATGATTAATTAAAATTCCACTGAGTTGAACCCAATACATATATAAGATATAGTATAAAATTCCGTAATTTTGGATTCAATTTTGCCGGTCATTGTGAATTTCTGCCATCAAGGATTCATTTTTGAGATCAGTATTGAACCCGGCAACAGCGACAACCGTGACAACAACATGTTACAAGTAATAAATTAATATCTACCGATTTGTGTTGCTGACATTTTGGATTTTCGAAATTTATCTTTAAATTCAGAGACATCGAAAACCATATATAAAAGACATAGCAAAAGTCATATCTTACGTAACAGTAGGACGTTAAACCCCATTTCATTTCATATCTTACGAGAGTATCGCTGTGCCCTTATATTACCAAATTTATGGGGTATTTTTAAATGGCATTATACTACCATATTTGACAGCCATTTGAAAGAAATGACTGGCACCAAATAAAAAATTCATTTTTTTAAATAGATGTTTGTCAAATTCGATTGTTTGGCACATTTTGGCTGCATAACCACTATATATGATATTATATTATCACATTTGGCACATATGAAAAATACATTTGTCAAATTCGATTTTTTTTTTTTTTTATGGCACATTTCGCTTGCATAACCACTATATGTGATATTATATTACCACACTTGGCAGCCATTTTGAAAGAAATGCCCGGCACCATATGAAAAATGCATTTTTGTAAATTGATGTTTGTCAAATTCGATTTTTCGGCACATGTCGCTTGCTTAACCGCTCTGTGTTTGATGAATTTAAAAAAAAAATTTAATAGAAAGGTGGAGATTCTCTTAACGACATTACATCAATCTAAATGTTAAAAAGACGAGTTTAACTATTATGTATGGAACCATCGAAGGCCTCGGGATAACTGCAAAAAATCTCAAAGCTTGTATTGAAAATCTTTCGATGTTTTCCCGACGGGGAAGCTCGGAGATGCTTCTCTGGAGCTTCCGTAAAATACTTGTTCACCGAGGCATCCCCGATTTAGATACATTATGGGAGTTTAGATAAAGTGCTGGCAGTTTTCGCTATAATAGTTAAAAACTAAACAATGTAAAGGGAATTTGCTGAAAATTTCAGTCAAATTGATCCACTCTGAACCGAGATTTTAGTGATTGAATTTTGGGTCTAGCCTCGATCATCATTACTAACGTCGGTACGATAAAAAAAAATTAGCGTTCAGCAGCAGATGCTTCTCTGGAGCTTCCGTAAAATACTTGTTCACCGAGGCATCCCCGATTTAGATACATTATGGGAGTTTAGATAAAGTGCTGGCAGTTTTCGCTATAATAGTTAAAAACTAAACAATGTAAAGGGAATTTGCTGAAAATTTCAGTCAAATTGATCCACTCTGAACCGAGATTTTAGTGATTGAATTTTGGGTCTAGCCTCGATCATCATTACTAAGGTAGCGTTCAGCAGCAGATAGGATTCTAATCCAGAAAATATCGCAGGTTAGCGATGACATTGAGAGTTGATTATGGTCTGGATAAGTTAATTAATGTCTAATTAAGAATTTAGATAACATTTTAGATAACAGATAAAGAAAGACGTGCAATTGGCAGATTTAGCTCTTGCATAATGTATGTTTAACTATCCTCAATGGTCCTCTGATACTCCCGTGGCCTCTCAATGGGTCCAGATGGCCCGCTATGCTCCAGGAGCCCCCCCCCCCCCCGGGACACCGGGAAACCTGTTCCCGACGCCTCCCGACCCTCATTAATTTCTATCTGTAGTACATCCGCAAGGCAAAAATTGCCCAGTGGCATCTACGCATTATATAAGACAATTGCAACTGGATTAATAAGCCCTAACAAGTGTCACTTCATGAAATTGCGGAACTTATTAATATTTCAATTGTTGATTATTTTTATTATTTTGTCCTTATTATTTCGGCAATAATCTTATATGTTACGCCAGGTAAAGATTTCGAAATTTCAGCCAGAAATAATAGATCGGAGGCTCAGTGCGAGGGGGGGGGGTCCATCAAATGGGAACAAAACCAGACCCAACTTTTCTACAGTAAAATTTTGCGTAGAATATAATACCGAGCGGTAATCAGTCCGCCGTTGGGGCGTTTTCGAGATATTCGGGGTCAAAGGTCAAATGAGGTCATTTGCACTGAAAGTGAATGCGCAGCCATTCTTGTATCACGAAAACATGCTGAAAATGGTCGAAATTTAATACCTTTTCAAAAAAAATGTAAATTTGCTAAATTCACCTTTGTTCTTTGTGACCCCGGAGGTCAAAAAGCCAATTACATGTATAAATTAAAGATCTGTTTCTGATCTTTTTTGTATCTTTGTTACGGTGGTTATAGGATGTTTTGCAGATAAGAGAGAGAGAGAGAGAGAGAGAGAGAGAGAGGGAGAGAGAGAGAGCGAGAGCGGGGAAGAGGAGGGGGTTAACGTCCACTCGACAAATAGGACCTACTAGTTCGTTTCGGGACTAACATGGTTAAATTTCATTTCAATATTTCGCTTGCGAAAAGGGGTCTTTGGCAGTGGAAGGAGCCCGGAAAACTCGTGGGAAACCCACGAGGTTGGAAGGGGACACTACTTGTCAAGTACAAGCGGGGAATTGAAGCCATGCAACTTGATTCAATGACAGATCTTATTAATCCATAATGATACATAATCATTGGTTGTATGATCTCGCTATGTCTACAGCACGCCAAAACTCGTGCAAATTACACTGTTACATGCATTTCAAAAACCGCAATTCTGCTTAGTGCCAGATTTCAATAATAAGGGGCCCTAGGCTATCCCCTTTACGGAGCCCCTTTCCTGTGTGGAAAGTCGAATGTACAGAAAGACTATACCTTATCAGTCGGCCTGTGATAATCAATGATGCTTAAATACAATTATAACATGAAACGAAAACCGAAACAAACAGAACTTTTAAAGGAGTTAAATCCCTATTCTTTGGCACCTGGACATGGACACAAATGGGTCGCAACGCATATAATAATGTAATATGAATGTATATGTAGCCCTCCCGTTGTTATATAATTGCCGACCTGCGGAAGATAACAAAACTTTAATTGAGATTCAATAATGGCAGCCGACAAGCACATGTACTCAATAAAAATTATAATAATAATCCCTAACACAGCACGTGCAAAATAACAATAGGATAGGATATTACATGTATAATGAATAGGTTACATAGCTAAGACTAAAATACAAAGTTCTTAGACTGCTTTTGCGCAATGGATATTTGTCTCAGATGTCAATTCATGCAGGCTACACAAAGCCAAGACACGCTGCACAAATGGAATAAGGCTCTAGGTCAGTGGTTCTCAACCTGTTTTGCCAATGGCACACCTTGGAACGTATGAAAAAATAGCGGCACACCTGGCTAAATATATATGAAAAATATTTGAATTTAGCCAAATAAAAACATGGTAAGTCAGGCGGCACACAACTGTAGACAGAGACTAATCATAGACACATAGAAAGACTCAAATTAAATAAAGAAAAACACCCCTATGAACACCAGTGAATACACAATTGGGATCACGTGGTTTTTCGCAATTTCTTAGTGTGCCGTTCAAAATTTTTCGGCACACTTAGGAAGATCTGGCGGCAAACTGGTTGAGAATCACTACTCTAAGTTATATTGTTATACAAAACAATTAACAAAGTCTGATAGTGGTCAATTCTACATGCAATACCACTGACAGAATATAACGACTTTCCAAATTATTTGAATAAAACAATACAATATATCCTTACAGTCTTAACTCATGTGTAAAAGGAATCAAAGAGTTTCACAAATGTAAACATACTAAAAAGGAAGTTTTAGGCATGTCAACGACAATATGAAATAAAAATTACTTTTAAGGCTTTTTTTCATAAACACAGATAAAAAATACTGATTTTAATAACAAAACCTACTTCCGGCGAAAACCATGAGCGCATGGCCACGTGTAATAGTAATAGGCAGATTTCCGGGATTAGAGCGATAAGATTCTGATGGTCACATATATTCTTGAAATTAGTAATTCGTCCTTTCAAATGTGCTCACCTTAATCTCTGACATCTTATAAACAATAATAAATCAGTTTTTAGCGTGATAATTGAATATTACCTGGGGAAGATAGCAAATTTTAATAAAGTTATATGGTTTTAAACGGGAGGTTGGATGGTCGAATGGTTAGCGCGTGTGCGTTGTATCATAAGGTATACCATTGAGTCAAGTGGTGTAGTTTCGATTCTCCGGTTGTACGTGACAAGGAGTAGGGTCGCCTATCCAACCTCGTGAGGTTTTCTCCGGGTATGTGGATTATTGAAATAAAATTGAAACATGTTAGCCTAGAAATGACCTAGTTTGTGTCAGTGGACGAAGCCTTATCTCTCTCTCTCTCTCTCTCTCTCTCTGGTTTTAAACTTTAATCGAAATTCAAAAATGGCAGCCGCGAAGCACATGTACTGACTTTACCAATCAGATACCGTTTTACAAAATATGCAGCCAAACAGAATTTTCAGAAGGATACAAGAGTTGTGAGGTTGGTTAGGTTGAAATGTTTAGATTGATTCAGTCAGTGACATGTTTAGAGGGTGGGGATACATGTTTTAGTATAGGTCTCTAATATTACGATCAATGCAACTGTTTTGTGATTTTTCTGTTTGCATATTGTCCAAGGTTTCCAAAAATATATTTC